ATTTTTCCAAGGAGAATGCCTTAATGAGATTAAAATTGGAAGTACATGAAAGTAGGATGCAATACGGATGAATCAAAACATGCTAAGTTGTTGATTATTGTTAGGGCAAGGTGATTGTGGTGATTTACTAAATAAAAAATAGAAAATACATGCAACCTATCTACAGAGAAAAGCCGGAAGCATTTTGGACATAGCTATAAACAAGGAGAACAAGTACATTTCCCCCCTTGCAATCTCTTCTTACATTCTTCATTTTGTAGTACACGTGAATGTGAAGTTTTATATATGGTAGCATGTCAAACATTTGTATAGACGTGTTTGTAAGTAGATGAATATGGTTTAAATAAATTCAAGAGGCCTCTAATGAAAGTTGCATACCCTCGTTCCCATGCTCCCAAGAATTTTGCTCTGTAGGCGATTCTTGTTATAACCTGCAGAATTTACAATACGTAGGATATATCAGAAGGCATCTTGTTGTTCATTTTGTTTTCTTGTATCTTTTAAAGTTTCAGTCAATATTTTAAGCATGTCGAGCATATAGACATATGGAAGCTTTAAAAAGAACTTTTGCAGAAATCCAACCTATGAGAGGTGGATAACTCATACAAGAGGTACATATATAACTTGTTCTTTCCTTTTAATGAAATAAATATCTATTAGTAAATTTTGAGAATAAGATCAGTTTAGTAACGCAGAGAAATGTGTCAAATGATCAACTCTGTTGTGGAATAGGCTGTGTTTTCTGGCAGATGAGATAAATATGTTAAAACAAAATACAACCAATCCAGTATTGGATAACTTTTGAAAACATAGAAACAAAAATAAAAGACATTTGATTTTTTTGTTCTTATATTATGCGATGGAAAAAGGGTTATCGGGATATAAAAGTACCTTAGGGGTCATTCTCCAGTAGAGACTTTCTTCCAGAGAGAGCTCTGAACTGCACTCGCTCTTCAAATGAAAACGAATAGATTAAAGATTTGAAATTGATTACAGAAAACCAAAACATGAATTATTTACCATCAAAACTTTAACATTTGGTTGCTATCAGCTCTAGATAAAAAGCAGTGCCTAAGAAAAATATCTACCTTTAAAGCGGGCACCATCTCCACATAGATAATCACATCTTAGCATATTAATATCCATGTAAGGGTGCAGAATTCGCCATTTGCTTAGGATGTATTCTCCTGTTGTTGTTTGGAATGCAGTGAGATCTCCAACAATGATGTGATTCCATGACTTGTAATACCCCAACACTTCTTCTTCTTTTTCTTCTTCTTCTCCATCATCATACACAAAACTCACCCCACACTCCTTGATAACTGCATCACCAATATCATGTGGTGTCCACCTCACAGTAACAGTAACATGGTCGCCACATTCCATCTCATTCATCCCAAACATCCAATGGCTTAACAACGTCAAACCATTTCTACGGAGAAATACCATTTCAAGGTAGTGGTGGCATATCCAGGTGCGGGTCTTTGTTATATTACTGATTATGATCTTTGGTAAATTATTTAACGGTTGTTGATGGAATGGAGATGCCAGCACACAACAAAAATTCAATCCTGTGAGGTTGTTAGAAGATGATGGAATGGTAAATGATATTGATGGCCCATTGCTTCTCTCCGTAATCCAATTCGGCATATCTTCCCCCCCCCCCCCCCCCATAAATTGTGCTGAATATTCCAAATTCATAGTACATCTGCCATATACAATCACCATACTATATATACATAGATATTCACGTAAACACATATATTTAACGAGAGCAAACCTGGATTTCAGATTCCTCTGATCCTCTACAAAAAACATTTGTCTCTACATGCCTTTTGTTAAGGAAGTCTAGCTTAGTCCAACCCAAACTACGAAATACCTTTTCCTCAACATCTGCCAATGGTTGGATTTTCACCATGCCTTCAAATTCAAACGATGAAGGTCCATATATATATTTGGGCTTATTAAGAGCTCAAGTGGGGACATTTGTGGATCAAATACAATTTTTCTTAGCAAAGACTTATTAGAATCAAAATAGAGGTCTATATATGTTAGTGTGTGCGGAGGATGCTCGACTGACGTAAGCATATTACAATTCCCCATAGTAAGTACCTTAAGCCTAGGAAGGCTTCTCACAACTCGGGAGGGAAACGATAGGATTTTCATCTAGATATAATGCCTTTAACATGGATGGGCAATTAAAGTCCATTGGAAAGGATTCGACGGACAAATTATTATTCACAAGTGACAAGCTTACTAAAGATCTAGGTAAAGAAACTATAAAGAACTTTGAATAACTTGGCATAACACCTAGAACGACGTTGGAAGACGTTATTGTGTTTATGCCAATGTTGTTAGCCTTGAGCAATTCCAATGAATCCATGTCCCTAATCTTGATTCGAGATTCACAGAGATAACAACCGTTTAGCAATAGTGTTTTAACTTTCTTTAACATGCCTAAGCTTCTTGGAAGTTTTACAACCTTGTTGCAGTAGCTCAGATCAATGTGGACAAGTTCTAAGCACTGCTCAATTGATTCACAAACGTCAAGCAAACCACTGCAACCTCTAAGTATTAACCTCTCAAGTTTAGGTAGGTGGTCAAAGCCACCAAGACTACGAAGTTGTTCACAAAAACTTAAATTAAGAATCTTCAACGATCCAAGCAACCTTTTGTCTTTTGAGCACGATCCAATCAATTGCTGAAAAAAAAAAAGATAAGTTACAATAATAATGAATTTTAACAACTCGACATAGAAGATCTAGTAATACATAGAGATAATCTACCTTTAGCCTCTTATGAAGTCGTTGTGGATAGCTATAACAACCAATAAATGATTCAATATTGCTATAAGACAGGTCAAGAGAAACAAGATTCTCCATCAATAAGTCTGAAGGTAAAGACTTCAAAGGGAACCCATGCATACACAACCATCTTAACTCTTTTGGAAAATTCTTGTAAGAGCCGGTTATTTGCACATAATTGAGTTGTAACAGCATTAGCCTATCCATCTTACTCGGTGCATCTGTTTTCAACTCAAGTGATCCATGTAACTTCTCTTTCTCAACCATTCTCATGTCAAGGGTGAGACCTAGAACATTTTCCGTACCCTAAGAATAAAAGTATTTAAAAATCTTTTGAAATATAGAAATACAAAATGCTTTAAATAAGTATACATGACATCTTACCTTGTTTTGTTTCAACACTCTCAATGACTCATGGCCCCATATTCGACTTCGTTCCCATGGCTTGTAAAGTGATTCCTCACGTACCAAAAATCTTCCCATTTCTTTAATCAACTCATGCATCATCAATTCATTATTCCATCCGATACTAAGAAGGCATTTGTCAACGAGATTCGTGATACCGGTTTTTGTTTCTATATCACATGCCTCTAATATTGTTACAGTATCATTTATATCCATTCCAACAAAAATACAAGCAATATGCTTAAACAAGCCCTTGTCATTTTTTGATGACAAAGAGTCAAAACTCATTCTCAAGACATTATTTATAGGAGAATCACTTTCTTTCTTTAGCCTGTATATGTACCCGACCCAATAAGTTACATCCCGATTATATAGAGACCTACCCAAAACTTTAAGCGCCATTGGATGTCCTTCACAATACTTCACAAGTTTGTCTGACACCTCTTCATAACTTGCCTTGGGATCGTTGCACATGAATGCATGAAAACACAATAACTTTTGTGAATCAATCAAAGATAAGCCTTTAAGTGTGTATGATTGCATGATTGGGTTTAAAGTTCTTTTTGAATAGTGCACAACTCTGTGTCAACCATGCGTCCTTTGTTGTTATTATAATTTTGGTTCCTGGATGAAAACCTTTGGTTCCAAGTAAAGCATCTAATTGATTAAGAGTACTAATATCATCTAGAACCAGAAACACTTTCTTACGGGCTACTGCAGTCTCTATCATTGAGGTGTATATGGAGTCATCAAGAACTTGAACTGAATTTGGTTTTGAAATGTCATCACAAAGTTGTTTTTGTATATCAAGCATCCCGTTAGATTTTTCATCACATTTCCTACTGATACCTTCAACAAAGCTGCTTGTGTCAAATTCATGCGAATGTAACGAATAGACATATTTGGCTAAAGAGGTCTTCCCCATCCCACCCATACCCAAAATAGTGAGTATATCTGTTGTATGTGATGATGCATCTTTCAGCCATGAAGTGACGAAGTTAATGGAATCTTCCATCCCAATAAGTTGTGGAAGTTCAAACCTTGAGGATATACGTAGATTACGGAAGATGTCTTTGACAATTTCATCAATAAACTCCACCTCTAGCCTGGAATTTGATTTTAGTAAGAACAACAAAACATAGTCAAACCAAAATTATATCATATTAATGTATTATATCATTAAGTTTTTCATATCATAATTATTATCGTATTTGCACTTCTAACTGTGATTTCATTAATGTACCAGAGCTACCGATTCTTAGCGAGAGATATTTTGTATATGTATTTATGTAATTGATGGTGTATATCCTTTCCTTTCTTTGAGAAATCCTTTTGTATTTATACGGTTCATTGTTTAATGTAAAGGCAAGGGAATTACATTTATCTTTATGGTATCAGAGCCTCTTTTGGCCTAACCCTAAGCCGTCGCACCCTTCATAGCAGTCGACCTCTGTTCTTTTCCCCACATCTCCTTCTTTTCTCCTCGACATGCCAGGCGACGCAGCAACCACCAAATCCACATTCCACCCGACATTCACACTGAGCAACATCAGGAATGCCATACCTCTCATTCTCAACCGGTCTGACGATCACTACCCTTCATGGGTGGAATTCTTCAACATTCACGTTTGTGCTTACAACATGAAGGATCATATCGATGACAAAGCCCCCAAACCCACCGATGTTGATAAGGACACATGGGATCGTCTTGATGCCCTTGTAAAATCATGGATCTACACCACCATAACACCTGATCTCGCTCACACCATCATGAAACCTGGTGCATCGGCCCTTGACCTTTGGAAGCGTCTTCAGGAGATATTTCTTGATAATAAAACCACTCGCGCAGTTTACCTCGAGGAACAATTTAACAACACCCATCTCTCTGCCTTCTCTAACATCACTGAATATTGTGCACGCCTCAAGAACCTAGCCGATCAACTAGAAAACGTTGGAAACCCGGTGTCAGAAACGAAGATGGTCCTCCAACTCATCTCCGGTCTTAGAAAGGGGGACTATGATACTGTCGCTACCATTATACAACAAACCAACCCCCTTCCCAGCTTTACAAAAGCGCAATCCTCCCTTCTCCTTGAAGAAGCCCGCCGTAACAAACCTAACCCCACCATTCCCCAAGCTCTTGTCACTCAACGGGCTGACTCCGGTACTTCTGAACACTCCAACAACAGCACTAATAACTACACCTCAGGCTACAATGGCCGTGGTCAACACCGGGGTAATCAGCGTGGCGGAGGACGTTGGTCTCGTGGCGGACAACGAGGCGGCAGAGGACGCGGACGTGGTAACGACAAATTCTCATCGCAGCAGACCCCATGGCAATGGCCCGGTTGGTTTCCCCCATACCCCTGGTCCGCCCCACCTTGCCCATACCCCACAGCTCCTCAGGTTGGAATTATGGGGCCTCGTCCAAACGTTCGATTCTCACCCGCACAGCAGCAACATCAAGTTCACACGGATCCACAAGCCAACTTTGCCTCAGAATCACAATTGGCCCACTCCAGCCAGATGACACCAACCGAACTTGCACAAGCATTCCTAACCATGCACATGCAACCACCTAATAGCTCATGGTATATGGATACAGGATCAACCTCCCACCTCACTAGCGATGCTGGTAAGCTCTCTAATCTCTCTCGTTTTAATAAAGATAATTATATTTTGGTTGGTAATGGCCATCGAGTTCCAGTTTTTGGCTATGGGAATGCAATCACCTCATACCTCAATCACCCTTATCGCCTAAACAATGTTTTCCTTGTCCCTAATATCATCAAAAACCTTGTTGCTGTGAAACAATTTACCCGTGATAATAATACATCTGTTGAATTTGACCCATTCGGTTTTACTGTGAAGGATCTAATCACGAAGAAACATATCACCCGGTGTGACAGCCCTGACGATCTCTATCCTCTCACACCCTCACTTACCAACGAGCACCCACCTGTCGCTTTTTATACGGAGTCTCCAAATATGTGGCACAACCGTCTTGGTCATCCTGCTGTCTCTACTTTACAATATTTAAATTCGTGTCTTTCTTTTTCTAGCTCTAAAAATACTTTGTTTTCATGTAATGCTTGCTCGTTAGGAAAACATTGTCGATTACCCTTTAATAATTCTGTTTCTGTTACCTATTTACCCTTTGATATCATTCATGCTGATATATGGACATCACCTGTTAAAAGTAAACTCAACCATAACTACTACCTTGTGTTACTTGATGATTTTTCACACTATATTTGGACGTTTCCCATTAAAGCCAAATCTGAAACTTTTCTGCTCCTCGCGCAATTCTATAAATATGTCCAAACTCAGTTTTCCACCAACATTAAATCCTTTCAGTGCGACAATGGACGTGAATTTCACAATGCAGCCTTCACACGGTTTTGTAACACCAATGGTGTTCAACTTTGATTCACATGCCCATACACCTCCTCCCAGAATGGCAAAGCAGAACGTATAATTCGCACCCTAAATAACATGGTCCGAACATCTTTAATTCATGCATCCCTACCACCCTCTTTTTGGAACTATGCGATCCATACAGCCACATATCTCACCAACATCCTCCCCTCACGTGTCATTGGTAACAAAACACCAACTCAAATTCTTTACCTTTGTACCCCCACATATAAACATTTACGAACCTTTGGGTGTCTATGTTACCCTAACACCACATCCACCATCCCCCACAAACTAGCCCCACGATCCATCCCCTGTATATTCCTTGGGTATCCCGACAATCATCGTGGTTATCTATGACTACCACTCGATAACTCCAAACCACTAATCTCTCGCCATGTCACTTTTCATGAACACATTTTCCCTTATTATAATATTGCAAAATATTGAGTTGAATCCTATAAGTTTCTAGATGCAAACGACCCATCACCATACTTAATTCACCCTCAACTTATCCCAACGAATACAACACAACCCTACCCACCACCTTCACCCCCATCCTTACCTCAAACTTCTCCACAACTCTCACCTCCACCTTCCCCACCTCCCTCACCACCATCACCGCCGATTATCCCTAACCCTCTACCATCCTCTCACATGCATACACGATCTAAAAGTGGAATTGTCAAACCAAACCCCAAATACACACTCCACACTCAACAAATATCCCCAATCCCATCTAACCCAAGGGTCGCTTTGCAAGATCAAAACTGGCTCGATGCTATGACTACTGAATATAATGCTTTATTGAAACAGGGAACATGGGATCTTGTGCCTAGACCATCCGATCACAATGTTATTCGCTGTCACTGGTTATTTTGGCACAAGTTTAAGGCATATGGCACTTTGGAGCGCTACAAGGCACGACTTGTAGTGAATGGAAAAACACAAGAAGTTGGTATTGATTGTGATGAAACCTTCAGCCCGGTTGTAAAACCTGCCACTATTCGTACTGTTCTTAGTCTTGCCATGGCACGAGATTGGGATGTACATCAATTGGATGTGAAAAACGCTTTCTTACATGGTCAATTGAAGGAAACCGTATATATGCACCAGCCACCTGGTTTTTTTAACACCCGTTATCCGGACCATGTTTGCAAATTAAAGAAATCCTTGTATGGGTTGAAACAGGCACCGCGTGCATGGTATCAACGATTCGCATCTTATTTACTAACTATTGGATTTGTGTGCAGCAAGAGTGACAATTCCTTATTTATCTACCAAAAACAACATGAGACCGCTTATCTACTGTTGTATGTCGATGACATAGTGTTAGCTACCTCATCTACAACACTCAAGACTTGGCTCCTCGGTGCTCTAAAACGGGAATTCGACATGACTGATCTTGGCCCGCTTTCTTACTTCCTTGGAATTGCTGTCACGCGCACCAAGAACACCATGTTCTTATCTTAACGCAAATACGTTGACGAAATCCTCAAACGTGCCAACATGGAAACATGCAAACCAGTCACCACTCCCGTTGACACTAATTCCAAACTAAGTCTTCATGCTGGTGATCCTGTGGCTGATCCATCTCTATATCGGAGTCTTGCGGGAGCTCTCCAATATCTTACATTCACACGTCCGAACATTGCATATGTCGTGCAACAGATCTTCCTCTTTATGCACGCTCCGAAAATTGGCCACTTTAATGCCTTAAAACGGATTATACGGTACATCAAAGGCACCCCAGATCATGGTCTCACGTTATTTTCCTCACCTTCCACTCAGTTAGTGTCCTATACTGATGCTGATTGGGGCGGTTGCCCGGACACCCGCCGCTCCACATCCGGATATTGCGTTTTTCTCGGTGACAATCTCATCTCATGGTCTGCCAAACGTCAAGCCACTCTTTCAAGGTCAAGTGCTGAAGCCGAATACCGTGGTGTTGCTAATGTCGTTGCTGAAGCCTGTTGGCTTCGCAACCTTCTTCTCGAACTGCACGCCCCTCTGAAACGTGCCACGATCGTCTATTGTGACAATGTCTCTGCTGTCTATTTATCCGGTAATCCTGCGCAACACCAATGTACCAAGCACATTGAAATGGATATACACTTTGTTCGTGAAAAGGTCGCTATTGGTCAGATTCGAGTTCTTCATATTCCATCTACTTATCAATATGCTGACATCTTTACTAAAGGTCTCCCGCGACAGCTATTTCTAGATTTTAGAGACAGTCTCAGCGTCCGTCTTCCTCCCGCTAAGACTGAGGGGGACTCTTAGCGAGAGATATTTTGTATATGTATTTATGTAATTGATGGTGTATATCCTTTGCTTTCTTTGAGAAATCCTTTTGTATTTACACGGTTCATTGTTTAATGTAAAGGCAAGGGAATTACATTTATCTTTACCAATGTAATACAAAATTTCATTGACGGACCAGCAAAGTTCATTGTATTTTGTTTCTACAAAACCATCGAATTTAAATTCACCGTGGTTTTGCATGAATAAGAACCAAATGTCACTGAATAGCTATATGAACTAATTTGTGAGATCACATAATTGCAAAAATTAGATTCAATTTCAAGCATATCTTTGTTCAAATTTAATTGCATCAAAAATATGCCTATTTGATAAATATGAAGAGGCATATTGAAATGCATAAGGAGAAGATTATGCTGAATTCGAATGTGCTAATTAAACAATATTAAAGGAATATGGACATATGGTTAAAAAAGTGGTTACCTGTCCTTAATATCCTTCCCTTTTAAATCAGCAACTTCTATAAGCGCTTTATTCCACCTATCTATCTTTTGAGCTAATTTACTTCTTTTATTTGGATTTGTCTCTGCCTCCATCCTCTGTCTATGTTCATCCATTGCATCTCCGAAGCTACTTTGTTGCTTCCTGACATGGGTGGGCTCAACATGATAAAAGATGGGGATTACAACATGACTGGATTTCATACGCTGCTCAAGGATCAACACCAGTTCATCAAGACACCAAGTGGAAGTAGCATAATTTTTTGACAACACAATAACAGAAGCCCTGGATGCTTTAATGGCACTCTCTAATTCTGGTTTCAGATCTTCCCCTGTTTCAATCTCTTCATCATCTAAGAAGGTAGTGATGTTGGCATGGATGAGGGCATTATAAAGGTGATTAGTGAAACTATGACAAGTGTCAACACCTCTGAAACTTATAAATACATCATATCTATGAGCTTGAGTTAATGAAGAAGATGAAGATCCTTCAGAAAATTCATCGATAACAACCATTATGAGTTACGTCTAGTGTCTCTCAGAAAGTAAGAAAGTAAGTATTGTGTTCTGAAACTTTTGAATCCCACACTTTCCTCAATAGCGCCTGAATCTCAAGACCCCATACATAATGTCTCTACAAAAAATCCACATTATTAATATATTCAACTTAAGTCTCAAAAAATATAACCTGAACAATAATACCTTATAATAATTCTAAATTAAAAAATTTAAATGCCTAAAAAACAATACATATGCACCTCCAGACTTTTCCATGTGAAGTGATATGCTTCAGAAATTACCAACATATATACAGCTATGTATTGATATAGAATCACCATATTGAACCGATGTATTTAATTAACATACAAAACCTTTATTTTTATCCGATTACCCACGACAAACATCCCTAATATTGTCTAAACAATTTCCATAAAGTTAAGTTAAATAACCTCCAAACAAATCAATACCAAATACCATTCCATAAACAACTACAAGATCCACATGAAACTTCAGGGGTAAACACTTTATACCCAAGTAATATAGATATCACCATCAATTTTAGCCTTATTACAATAGAAAATTAAAGCTTCTTCATTATGAGTGTTTAGCTTACTGTTCAGGTTCAAAGGGATCATACGTAGAGAATCGTGTTTGTGAGTTAGAAGATATAGATGAATTGAGGAAGTACATGTTGGACTCTGTACTACCCTAACAGAAATACAAAACTGAAAAAAAGTAACAGAAATAATCGAAATTTCAATCCAATGTTAATGAACAAACATATGATTATGATGCGATTTATGATAATAAGGTAAAATTGTCTAACAACATATGAAACTAACTGAAAGGGCCTTGAGAGTTACCTGCCTACACAACTACAGAGAGACCTGAAGCACCAAGAATAGCGGAGGACCCAATGCCGACGCGACAGGGAAGGAAGACGAGTGAAAACTGGAGAGTGAATGGCAGAAAGTCGACCGGTAAACGGCAAGTCAACGAGGAAGGAAAGGAGACGGCGAGAAAGGTGAGACAGAATATTGTCGGCTTTTCTTTTGATGTTTCTGTTACAGAAATAATATTAATACAGAAATGGTCCTTGTGGTTATACAAGTTATGATAAATTGTTTGATAAATTTTGTCCATCGTCAACTTGAAAAATTGTTTGATAAATTTTGGTTCGATTTTGTGAAATGGAAGTAATATTAAGTTAAAAAAATGAGTTGTAACTTATGCAGTGTCAGATCTAGCTTAAAGTCAAATGGGATGAATATTGACCATTAACTTGACGGTTGACCGGAAGTCAACTAGTCGATCCACTATCCGGATGTTATGTTAAACGTATTTTATTCCCCCAATTCAAATTAGTAATAGAAACTAACAATTTATTATTCATTAATATAATAAAACTTTTATATCTTCCTATCTAATAAAAAAATAGTTTTATTCTTCTATTGACATATGTTATCTTATTAAACCTTCTAATTAATGCATATTTCATTCTCTTTTTGTCATATATCATCATGTTGTATTTCTTAATTAATACATAACATTTGTAAACCTATTCATTCTCCATTTTAAATTTCAAATTTTAAATTTCTTATTCTAATTATGTTAAAATAATAACATTAGAATAAAAATTAAAAATAAACTTAATACAAATTATAAAGTAATATAATTTTACATTTTTATTTAAGACAATGATTAAAATTTATATAATTAAAAAAAATCTCTTAATTAATAATTTATTTAAAATAATTGAATAATAATTTTTAGTTTTTATTTTAAAATTTTAATTAATTGTATAACTGTGTTCTCACGGGTTATAAACTAGTTTAACAATAGACATATCAAGTTCATAATGCATACCGGGGACAAATTAAAAAACAATATATTATTCTAAGATTTTTTCTAATAATGCAACCCACAAAAAAAATTGAAAGTTTACAATTGCAATATACCGCCGACAGTGTTTGAATATACTATACCCACAAAAATCCAAAAAATAATTGATTTCCCTCATAATAAAAATAATATATATATATATATATATATATATATATATATATATATATATATATATATATATATATATATATTGCAAAATAATTATAAAAAAATCAAGATTATTGGTATTATTGAAATGTGTAGAGAATATACTGAAGTTGGTGTATATATATATATATATATATATATATATATATATATATATATATATATATATATATATATATATATATATATATATATGATATAGATCCGGTAAGAAATTTTTTTTGTAGGAAGGTAAGAAGTTTTTTTTCTACATATTTTTTTGACGAACAAAATAAATGAATCACTAGATGATTCATTTCTAAGATGATTCACAAGAAAAAATTCTCAAAAAAACATCTTTATGATTCATTTTTAAGTAAATTAAGAAAAAATTCATTTTTATGATAATTTTAGTGAATAACAACAAAATCATTGTATAAATGAATCATAAAGATGTTTTTTTGAGAATTTTTTTTCTTGTGAATCATGTTAGAAATGAATCATCTAATGATTCATTGATTTTGTTCGTCAAAAAAAGAAGTAGAAAAAAAACTTCTTACCTTCCTACCAAAAATTTCCTTCTTATTTGATCTTGACTCTATATATATATATATATATATATATATATATATATATATATATATATATATATATATATATATATATATATATATATATATATATATATGGGTAAAGTGAATATACCTAACAACTTCATATAAGCTTAGGTACCTAACTTCATCAAACTATATCATTTTGAATTAAATTTTCATTGCAATCATCCAAGGTTCTTAAAGTTCATCCCTAAACTTGATTTACTTCAAAAAAATTTGAAAATTCATCATTATATTTCTCCTACATCTTTTCATTTGTAGTAGTTGGATATGAAGCCCATCAGGTGGTATTCAGTAGAAAGACGTGATGTAAAAGAAAGATATTGTTGAAAGTCCAAAGATTTTGGAAGTAATCAAGTTATGGGGTTGAAGTTTATGAACCTTAGGCAATTACAATGTAAATATGATACAAACCGATGTAGTATTATGTAGTTAGGTACCTAAGCTTATATAAGGTTGTTAAGTATATTCACTTTACCCTATATATATATATATATATATATATATATATATATATATATATATATATATATATTCAGTTTAGAACTAATTTTTTTTTTCAAAATAAACTAAACTTTATAATTTGTTAAAGGTACTTGCAAACAATATTTACAATAACTATAAAACTAGCTAACACAAACAAATTAGATCTTGGATTGTAAGCTCTAATTTTTTTTTTTTCAAAATAAACTAAACTTTATAATTTGTTAAAGGTACTTGCAAACAATATTTACAATAACTATAAAACCTAGCTAACACAAACAAATTAGATCTTGGATTGTAAGCTTATTATGTCTTTAGATTTACAAAATATTCTATATATAATAAAATATTAATTTAAGCAACTAAATAAATTGACTACATCATTACGATAAAATACTCCACTAAATAGTAGAATTAAGGAAAATAGCAATGGGTGAAAAGAAAACTCGTTTATTTTATAAAACATATCCTAATAATAAATAGATTATTGTTTTTTTATTGTTTTTGAAAGACGGATTCGATTAAAAACTGATAGCACAAAATACAAATTACAAACAAAGAAAATGAGAAATAAACCAAACCGACCAACAACTATTGCTAAACATATATCTATTCTTAAACCATTTAAAAGAAAGTAACTAAATATCATATGCCGCTTTAACGCCTCGTTCCCAAATTTAATTGTGACAACCCGAAATTTTTATTTGTATAAACTCCGCAATTAAGTAATCCAAAAATTAGCCAAATTTATTTCATAACATTTTTGGCTGGATTTAATTCCGTTGGAATGTTTTAAATAATATTCGTCAAGCGAACCAAAAATAAGGAAGTATAAATTTAGAGTTGCCGTATTTAACGTAAGTCGCGAAACTCCAAAATTTTGGAGTTTACGGGAGAAAACTTGGAGTTTTCAAGTGTTCTTCAAGAACACCAAGAACACACACTAGTGTTCTTGGCCAAAATTGATCATTCAAGCTCCTAGAACGTAAGTACTCTTGCCCTAGCTTCTTGTGTGCTTAGTATGAAGAACCACCAAAATCATCACTTCCCCATGTTCATATGGGTTTACGGTTTGGGGAGGCCTCCCAAAACCGTAAACACCTCCAAAAGGGTGTTTAAGTGCCCTTAACACCTTCCTATGCTCGTATAAGTGACTATAACCTTGCATGCATGAGTTAGAACCACAAAAACACAAGAGAAATGGACAAACATGGGTTTACGGCCGTAAACCCATGTGTTTATGACCGTAAACACCCTAGGGAGTGGTCCAATGACTGTAAACTCCATAAAGTGTCCATTTTGAGCCCTAATCACTTCCATATCCCTTGATTCGAGTCTAGCCTAATTCCTTGAGTGAGATAAGACCTTTAAACAACCCATGGCACCACTACCATGAGTTTAAGGCCATAAAATCATGGGGGGAAATGGTCCCAGGATCGTAAACACCCCCTAAGGACCATCATCGAAGAGTAAACTCCAATGTGAGTCCATATACTCTTCATATGCAACCCTTGGTACTCCTAACACTTGCAAAAAAGTTTTTTTCATGTATTAGGACATCCTTACTTGTTTAATTAGTTATTTAATGACTAATTGGATACTTAAATGTATCATTACATGTTAAATAAGATCCAAGTGTGTGTTCAAGTCCTCACTTGACAACTACCGTCCTATATCATCCGTTCATCCGAATCGCCCACATCAGGTGAGTTCATACCCCTAAATTAACCTTTTAAATGATTTTAAATGCTTTTATAGAGGGGAATACAAGTTGAACTATAGAGTTACTATATCAATCACATGTGATTAATAACTGTATCCCAAATGGATTTTTACATGTTAAACTGCTTCATACAGCAAAAGTTTTTCCAATCTTGTTTTCAAATC